GGCAAAATCTGGCGGTGGATGGGCAAAATCTGGCGGTGGATGGGCAAAATCTGGCGGTGGATGGGCGAAATCTGGCGGTGGATGGGCAAAACCTGGCGGTGGATGGGCGAAATCTGGCGAAACCTGGTGGAAGAGTGAAATCTGGTGATGAACTTAGATAAAACGGAAGGCAGATGGGACCTTCGACTTAGAGTATGAATATGTTTATGGTATGTCGTGACAGGTGAGATTTTTTTCAGAGCATTACTAACGCATAGTCCTAATTTTTTATGTAAACAGCAAACGATTCCGAAAGTACCGAAGGTATCTACTGTACGAATATCGAATCTCACTAACAGAAGACATACTCAGGGACTCAACCGAATTACGCAAGAACGTGAGGAGGATTTTGAAGGTTATAGTGGGTTTGTTAAAGGATAGGGTATCAGCTAGTGAAGAACCCACAAATAAGAAACGCTGTATAGAAGAGTCAATCAAGAAAAATAAGCATGTATAAATAGTATAGTGAATTCGTCATGTATCACGGGCAAAGTCCCGAACCTTTGTATGGTGTAAGTAAACTATACTCAACAATAAAATTATAGTACTTAAAATCATAAAATTTCAAAAAATAAATTTTAAAGAAAATAAATTTCCAACTTCGACCTTTACGTGAATGATCCTCAGGAAAAGAATCCCATGGAACAGGATCAAATCCACATTTTCATAAAACCTAGGAGTAAATTAGTATTTTTATTTGTATCATTTTATCATCGCAACTTTATGTATCAGTTGCTTTTTTTTTATGTCTGATTTTTATTTCATTTATTTATTTATTTATTTCATTTCTGAAAGAGTAGTTTACTAAGCCTATTACAAATAAAAGCAGATGGTACTTTCGTACGAAATAACTATTATGTGTGTACAGATCTCAGAAATTCATCCCATACAGGACCTCACTCTTCGATCAAAACTATTTGAAAAAGTAGTACTACGCTAAATGGGGAACCAAAATACAATCCAGAGACCAAAACCGCCAGACCCGTATTTTTCTTTCGCCCGGAGACGTTACCTGTAAATACTGTAAGAGGTAAAATGATTCACACTATTTTAAGTTGTTTAGTAAAGGTTAATTTGATTAAACTCTCTGCTTTTATTTCATAAATAAAGTATTATTTTAGAAAAGCGAGTCACGTGTAATTGGGGACTAATAAAATCAAATCAATTTTTTGTGATCATCTATTAAAATTGATGTATTTTTAAACTTCCTAAGCTCTTCCCATTATTTACATTGTATATTTCTGCAGGAACATTCCAAACAATCATCTCTTTCACATAACATCTTTCTTTTTCTCTCCAAGGATACTCCCACTATAAATAACCCCTTAGCTGCTTCTCAAAAAATTTTCTTTGTTGTTTTTCGAAAAGCGAGGTGTTACATTGTTTTTAAAGTTATTATGTATGTTTTTAACATTTTAGTATTACATAAAGACAAATCAGGCACAGTTTTTTAACATTTTAGTATTACATAAAGACAAATAAGGCAAGTTTTTTACGATTTCGGGAAAACGCCTTCTATTTCAAGGAGTTCTCGACAATTAAAAAAAGCACGTGAAACACAAGTTAAAATTATAAGAAAAGAAATTCATTCCCAAAGAAAAAATCAAGAGAAGTTCTTTCAAAGATGCAAGAAAATCAACTAAATGAGATTCGGGCATCACATCCCTTTGAAAAAATGTTTGGTAAATGAAATTTAAATATTTGTATACAAGATTAATACATTTTTTCAATAATAAATTTATTACAATTATAAATATAAATAAAAAGTACCGGCGAAATTAATGTGTTAAATATTGATTGTTTGATTTATTAGTCCTGTGCGACATAAAAACATATAATAACGCTTTCTTTTTCCCAGAGGGATAAATATAAAGAATTTAAAGAATTTGATCTTTTTATTAATAAGTTTATCGCAATAATGAGCAATCCAAAACGTACGATTTCATCAATTATAAACAACGCTAAGTCGAGAGATTATTTCGAGACCAAAATAGGAAGAAGTTTCGATAATAATAGGATAAAGTTTTTATCACGTATGTTTTATTAATACTCATTAATTAATAGTTTCACAATGTTTCATGAGCAATGTTTTTTTCTTTACCCTTCTAATAAAGCTAGGAATAACAAAGGATATTGTCAAGCCTTCGATATTAAGACTTGTGGATTGGAGTGTCGAATAAAGTCATATATGACTTATCCACTATGCGCGAAGCATGATAGACCTAAGTTTGTCGCTGCAATTCACGCCAAAGAATACTTGAGCTCCATGCCTATATACTCATCTTTGTCTGACGAATTCATAAACGATTTATCAACTTATTTTACTGAACGGTGTCTCGATCTTAAGCGTCCTATTGAAGAAGGCATGTTTTACGTTATGCATAGAGTTGGTAAGTATATAAATGAAACACATAAAAATTATAGTTTAATAAGTTTAATAATTATTAACTCAATTAGATATTGAAAATCACCCGGAACTTTTTAAAATTGGTCTCGATATTGCTGACGAAAATTGTGATTTTGAAGATCGTATCTCAAAACATGAGGAAGGCTTTTGCAGAGCGGTTTTCGCAGAAGGATATGTTACTCCTATCCATTCTGATTGCCGTTTAGTTGACGGAGTAATTAAAAAACTGTTGGCCGCATCACGAGTTGAATTTAAATGTAATTGTACCACTAAACATATCGAATATTATGATGTTACGGCATTATCTGTATTTGAACGTGTTGAAAATTGGATTTGTAATAATCCGACGGGTCCAATAACAGAAAGGATCCAGAATACAATGTCCCTTTCCCACACTTAGTTCCTTACATTTTTTTTTCAAAAAAAATTGATTACAAGTTTATTTTTTATATATCAAAATTAATTTGCTTGTTTATATAAATATAAAATAAAAGTTTAGCTATCAAAAATTCAGTATCATGGTCATAATTAAAGAATTTTATAGTATAATTAAGATTCTGTGAAAGTTTGGTGTTTGTAAAGTCATAACACTCCGTTCTTTTGTAAAAATATTATTTATCCTCAGCTACGCTTCGGATATGATCCCGCAGTTCATACCATACAATCCTAATCAGGTTCCAAGTAAGGCAGAGGTCGAGGAGTATGACGCTAACAATGAGAAGATGAAGTCTCGGCTTTTGCGAAAGAGGATAAGACGAAAAGAGCGGAGGTAGATAAACCGGTGGACAGGCCTAAGAATTATTGGGTAATCGATGGAGGGTAAGTTTTTTTTTAGGATAGTCTTCTTGAATGTGGGTTTTTTGCTGGATATCGCAGATAGTAAATTTTTTACAAAAAATGTACGTGTGTGCCACGATGTTAAATTTAACCAGCAAAATGACCATTTCAATTTGGGGTGTAATTTTTATTTTTTGGAATTAATTTTCAACAGTGTAAAGGAACTAAAGGAGTGGTATGGATCTTCCCCAGTATCACCGGAGCAGTCAATCCCGCAGACCCGCACCCGTGATAAAAATAGTTTACTATTTTTAGCATCGCCTCAAAATTAATCTGGGGGCAAGTTTACTTATTATATCTTTTTAAAATATTTATTTAAGTTATGCGCGTTAACCGCGTTTTTTTTTGTTTTTTTTCTTGTAAAAAAATAAAAAAATAAAATATTCTAAGTCTTTATTTTTTTTTTTTATTTTTTTCTTTCTTCATTTGAATATTTTATATATTTTATGTATAATATATTATGTTTTTTTTAATAAAAATATTTTTTTATAATTATTTCAAATATTTCTAACGAAAAATACCTTTTATTTAATCAGTTTCATTGTAATATTTTATATTTAATAAAGAAAAAAATATATTATAATATAAATAGATCAAAACACGAAAATAAAAGTATTAAATCGTGTGTTATAAAATTATTACATTTTTACTTATAGAAATAAAAAAAACTTGAAAAAAACGCGCAACTAATAAATGATAAAAATAAAGTAAACTTTCCCCAAATTGTGATGCTAAAAATAGTAAACTATTTTTATCACGGGTACGGGATTAGTGACGGTGATACTGGGTAAATTCAGATTTCGGTGACGTGCGTGATTAATAATAAAATTGTAATTAAAAAAGTTCTTGAAATATAAGTATAATATCTATTGTATAATAAATAATAAAATAAATTTATTGTAAAGTTTATATTTGCAACTGTTGTAAACTTGTAATTCGTGTTTTTACTAATTTTATAAAATGGATGTCCGTCCCCTTCGTGATACCCTTCGAAAATGTAGAAACAGAGAAAATGAAACACCTGATCAATGGCAACAACGTCTGGAACGTGATAGAATGTCTAAACGTATTAAAAGAGCGAGTGAAAATGCCCAACAACGTGAGAAGCGACTGAGTAATAATCGTGTATGAAAACAAAATAGACGCCTTACTGATCGCATCAACCGCCAGGGTGCTGCTCGTTCGCAAGTCATCGGTGACCATTGTCTTCCCGAATCTGACTGAAAAACTCTTACACAATTTCGTTCAAAGATTGATAAGTTGTCTAATAATTTCTGTCCCGTATGCAATGAATGTTTCCCTTCCATCAAGATTGTGCAAGGTGAACGTCACCACTGTCACATGGAAAGGAATGAAGTCAAAAAGTTCTCTGCAAAAAAATTAGATGTTGATCGCTCAAATTTTTCTGATCTCCGTATACTGTCTTCGTGGTGGTCAACATGCATATCGTGGTAATGTGATAAATTTCCCCTAGGATGTGCAGGAATTTGCTACACATCTACCTCACCGTCCTTCGTCACTTGATGTTCTTGCCGTGCATCATTGCTCTTCTGATGTTAGAGCATTTAAAGATTTCAACGTACGTCGTTCCGTGGTATCTTGTGCTCTTTACTGGTTGAAAAATAACAATCATTATCATTCGAATATTGACATTGACAAATAACTATACAAATGCTTTACAAATAGATATACAAAATAAACTGGGTAAAAATAATCTTCTATTTAGAAAGGTTTTGGGATCATCATTGCCTGAAAATGGACCGCTCGATGATCAGATTCTCCGACTACTGTAAAATATCATCGGTGACAATTGTTCACTTTTGCTAAGAAAAAATTTTTATTGATGCATGTGAAAATTAAATACAATGATCGGGACTATTGCCCGGATTACATGACGATTTTTTTTCTATGCTAGTGTCTTTACAATTATTTTTCGAACAAGACAAGACTATCTAATTTATCTTCTGTTTTACCCGCTTTTCATCACCCACTGATGATTTTTGCTGATCAAAAACCCACTTGATTTGCCCAAATAATTTCTTGATAGGTTCCAACTAGATCGTCGCGGGATAATGATGGGTAGTTGATAGGTAGAGATGTAGGCATAGGCGAACACAAAAAAACTTCGACCGGATTCCCATCATCATTATCATTTCTGTCTCCGATACCACATTGAACTTTTGATATTACCGGTCAACACTTGAAATTGAATATAAAATAAGAGTAACTAAATTTTAACTAAGTAGAAATTTAAGTCACACCTATCGAATTGGTTTTACAAACATACCAATTGAGACAAAGCAGTACATTACATCAGCATCATCATAAGTAGATGCATGTGCTTGGAGCCTTGGACAGTACTCTGAGCAACACCTTGATTAATATCTTCTCGTTTTGCCTCGGTTACAGAAATAATTGTGTCTCCCATTTTGATTACCCAATCAATGGAGACTTCATACTGGGAGTAACCTTTTACAGTACCATCAAAAATGGACGCCACACCATATATAATCGCGGAAATAAATTCACAGCGGGTGGCCTCATTCGCGCTAGTGATGGGGAAGCCTTATGCATTCTTAAAAAATCCTCAATCACACTGTTCCTGATCTCTTCCGGAGTTGCTGTATGAAATTTCATAACACTCACTTTCAATATTATCATCAATCAACAGTGGGTTCATATCTTTCATATCTGTTGCTAGCTATTGTTCCGCCACTCATCGAACAACAATCCTACTATCACTCCTTAAGATAAACTTTTATATTCATTCCACTTGAATGATCTCTTCATTAATTGACTTAAGCGAGGTTAACCATTCAATCCTATTCAATATATCTATGAGCAATTGACAAAATGTCACAAAGCAGTAGTTTTATCATCTTGATGCTCGGCTTCATCACAACTTCCACCTTTTTTGGTCTTCATTTAAATAAATCAGTATAAGTTGTAAGTAATATATTGTGAATATTGTAACGATAAATCTATGAATTCAAAAACAATATACGGTTACAATTGCGTTTTTTTTTAAAAAACAAATGCATACATAAATTCTACCATTGATGATATCCGGAATCGATACAACAAGAACAATTGATTAGATAATATGGTTGAATATTAATGAAAAAAAAACGTTTTAATTATGTTAAATATTTTTATTGCAACCTAAATTACTTACAACTAGTAAAAAACCGATTTTTAATTCTTTTCTCCATTTGTTTAATTTTGTCATAAGACCAGCTCAAAACATCTAAAAGCTTCTTTATGAAAATAATCAGGAAATATAGTATAGTCTAAGACTGAGATTTGACAATCCAATACTGACAGAACTTATCATTGCCATCATCCATAGATGCAGTGTTTAATAGACCTAAGTTGATTTTTAATTCAGAGTATGTGTGCGATTCATTAGATCATGCTGGTCTGAATTATGATAATTGTATAACATTCAAATTAATTAAGTAAAGTAAACAATATATACGATATGTGGGAAATAAGCGCGATTTCAGCAATTCCATCTTCATGTGGAATATTCCACTAGAACTTTTTAATAACCATCAAGCAAAGTTAGTTTGGATGAATAATTAAAACTACTATAAAATCCTGACCAATATTGAGTAGAAAGACGTAATGTATTGTAAAGGTTGCTTGATGATTTAATCAAAGAGACGACCAGAACATTTGCAGGAGAATGAATTGATTTGAGTTATGATAAAATACGAAGGAGAAGCCTAAAATCAAGAGAAGCAATATTTATTTTTGATGAAGAAAGGAAAAAAAGAGAGAAAAGATATTTAAGTAACACTTACGGTGAGACATAGCTGCACCAGTGAAAAACTCGAATTTTATTTTTGCGTTTATCGGTAAAACGGGTTTATAACCTGTAACTCCAGCGTACTAATTACTGCCAACCGAAATACTCTTATTTTCTACGATCACAAAAGAACAAGCCCGAAATTTGCTTTCATATCAGGTAGGTTTAGATTCTTCGGAATTCGTGAAATGTCAGACGGTTGCAAAAAAAATTTGCGGTGTGCATGTACAGTAAATATAGGTGCAACGTTGTGTTACCGAACAGTAGAAGTAATTTTCGTCAGTTTTTAAATATTTAATTTTTTTCTTTTTGTAAATAATATGTCAAGAAGAAGACAACGAAATGTTCAACACTCATCATCATCATCATCATTACAAAAACAAAAGGATGAACATGTTTTCTCTATAACACAATTATGGACATTACCTAGAACAACACTATTATTAATTACTCCAATCTTATCGTCAACAATTCTTCAAGTATCTCCTCGATACATTGAACCAGTTTATGGAAATGTTTTTTCGTCATTATATTTTGATCAAGCGGTTATTGCTTCGTTATTTTTTGGTATTATAATCGGAATCGGATTCGTAGCCAAATCAAAAGATTTAACTTCAAAAGTTAGGGATGAAAAATTATCTAGAGCATTAATATTTGGCATTGATTTGTGTGGAATTATATTAGCGTTATCACCGCTAAATATTAAAGTTTTATATAGACTTAGTGAAATACTCGGTCCATATATTGGACCTCACGCTACGCAGCTTGGGTTGGCATACCCGGTCATATTCTTATTAGGATATCTTAATACAGTTGTTTGTGCTCGTTTATCAAGGGAACAACACTTCCCAGTAATACGATGGACTCCTTACATTGCTATGCATATTACAATAACTGCAACAGTAACCTATGTTCTTTATAATATAGAAACTAGGGGTAAAACTTGCCATAGATTATATTTTGCAAGTATATTAATAACTTTAATTGGTGCACTTTTTAAATTTTTATTAAAAACTTATGGTGAAATGAATTTGATCGAAGATGCAGCTCAAAGATATAAAAAATTAGCTGATGTTTCTCTATCTAATAAAATTCGGTCAACAAGTTTCTTATTATTACCACAAATATTTATCGTAATAATTGCAATATACAATTCTAATTTTAATTCACATTGCAATACTGGAATTTCACAGGTTAGGTAATCTTTTATATATTTAAAATAATGATTGCTTTCTTAAGAAAGATTTTTCAAATTTTTTTTAGAAAACAATTGTAGATGACGTAGAATATACGGTTCTTGCACGAAATGAATCAATTACCGGATGGATTGAAATTGTTGAAGAAATAGGACCTCGAAATATACGCGTAATGCGTGCAGGTCACTCATTATTAGGGGGCGTTTATAAAAAATCGAATGATTCGGTATTTGGGTCTTTCTATTTTTTAGAAGGTATAATCAAAGAAAAAGAAAAAGGAGATACACAAATAGGAATCATAAAATATTTTAATATTTAATCCCTTGTAATTTTCAGCCGTAAGATTAATAGGAAATCGGAATCAAGTTGGACAGGAAAGAGCACTTCAAATGTAAGCTCAATGTTGTTTTTTTTTTATTTAATTTTTTTTTACCTTGTTAGAAAGAGTTTTTTATTATTGTTTAGTGGTCTAGGAATTGGAGTATCGGCAAAATCATTACAAGCACATAATGTTTTATTAAATATAGTAGAATTGGATTCCGCAGTTTATAATTACGCGATAAATTACTTTGGTCTTGAACCTAAGCACAATATATATATTCAAGATGGAAGGAAATTTATAAATGATGAACATTCTCAATCTTATGATTATGTTTTACATGACGTGTTTACTGGTGGTTCGGTTCCTCCTTCGTTATTTTCTCTTGAAGCTTTAGAACAAATTAAGAGGATTCTGAAGAAAGATGGTGTTTTAGCGTTGGTAAGTTAAAATAAAAAAAAATTGAAGGAATTATATTTGGTAAATATTAATTTTGGATATTAAAATTATAGAATTTTGTTGGATCTGAACAATGGCCACATGCTGAAAGTTTAGCGCTAGTGAAAAATACAATTAGTGCAGTATTTCCATATTACAAATGTTTTAGAGAAGGTCCAACAGAAAAAAGTTCATTTCAAAACATGGTATATATATATATTCATCATTAATTTCAAATTTTTTTTATCATTAAATGTGTTATTAATTTTATGCATATTTTTTTTTTTAAGATATTTTTTGCCTCAGTTAAACCAATAATCTTTAGAAATCCAACCAATGATGATTTTATGGGTAGTGCAATGAGAGAGTATATGTTAGGAAGTTTTATGCAATGGTCAATTGATTTAACCAAATTGAGGAATGTAACGGATATTATTACAGATTTAAATAATCCTTTGGATAAATTACAACATTTATCAGCTTTTGAGCACTGGAAGATTATGAGAAATTTATTCTCTCAAGAAATTTGGATAAATTATTAAAAAAGTAGGTAAAAGTATATTATTTAAAACATTATACAAGAAAATACTAATTACAAATGCAAAGAATATGAACTCATGTATTTTTATTAACATCAAAGTGCTATGATGTAAGTTAAACACTTGACAGTATAGCATACAACGTATAATGCAACCATTACAACTTATTAATCCTTTAAAATCTACTTTGATTTCACAACACTATTTCGTTTATAAGAATATGATTCAATAATTTGATTTTGAGTTGAGCATATGTGATTTGAGTTGTATAATAAATAAATACACTTTATAAGTGAAATGTATAAATAATTAATAAAAATTGATTTTTTCAGATATAATAAATATACAATATTTCATTAAATATTTCTCTAATTGTTTACAGTTACTCAAGTTGTTATAATTTAATTATACCTTTGGTTTATGTAAAATTTATAATTACTTGTCTATAATTACCTATAAACTATAGGATTCTCTAATTTTTTCCAACTTCTCTTTTTTACTATTTTTTTTTTTTATTAATTTATTATAGATGTGATCTTGTCATATTATAACTATGCTTACTTACATATACTAAACTTATAAAAATAAGAACAACAAAATACATATAAGAACTAACTACTTTTCTGAAAAAAAAGTTGACCTGTCATCTAAACGATTATATTATCATTATAAACAATGATACAATACTGATACAACCAAAATTTTAGGTCAGTTCTAACTAGAACCCATATTTTTCTTTTAATTAAAAGCTATAGCTATATATAAATACTATTATGTGTAAAATGTTTAACTTAAGGAAAATTCTATCTAAAAAGATAAAAAAAAAGGATACAACTTAATAGAAAAATAAACAAACTTAGAACAAAAAGTTCTGTTTCTAATCTAATAAATAGCTAAATGTAATCAAGCTATTACTTATTATACAACTTTATTTTTTTCTTTTAGCTTTCCATTTACATTTGGCAGTTTTTGTTTCTATTAATTCTTCCATCCTTTTATCATACTATTGGTTGATAATATTATGTTAAAAATTATATTATCATTCAAGTATTCCAGTCTTATTTTTGTATATAGATGATCTATATATTTGTAATTTGTTTCGGTCACTAATCTTCTTTTAGAAAGTCTTTCTTGTATAAATTGATATACTATAGAGAAATCATCTTCATTATACATATGATTAAGTATGATTTTTTAATTCAAACTATTGAATGTACATTGATTTAAGACCTCGTTAAATAAAAATACTATATTACTTGACTTAATAAATTACTCTTTAAATATTAAATTTTTATTTTTAACAAATAATAAAAAAGGTAAAAATAAGGATTGGAATCGATTCTCAAAATAAAAATCAATTTAAAAATTGATTAATCGTGATTAATCAAATCTTGAGATTCAATTTTAAGATTCGATTTTCAATTTTGATTAAATTGATTCTAATTGATTCTATGCATCATAAAAAAAAATTGATCATCATTCGTAATTAAATTTGTGACACAACAATTTTAATAGGCGAAAAATCTATTTTTTTTATAGTAATTTTACTTATTTTATATAGGCATTACTAAATCTCACTGCTGGCTTAATTTTGGCCAGAATTATAATTTAGCCAGAGTTAATTGTGTAACCTAATAAAACTTTTTTACAAATAGCCAAATGGGTCTGAAAGATATTCATTTATAAGCAAATATTCAGTTGAATCTTGTATAACTTTACTGCATAAATCACTTATTTCATAATTAAAAGTGGTCTAAATGACCCTAAAAGTAGTAAGTTTGGTATACTTAATTGATGGATATTTGACCATTTTTAGGGTCATTTAGACCACTTTTAACTATTAATTAAAAATTAAAAACTTTTTTTATTAAATTACATGATTAACTCTGATCAAATTATAATTCTAGCCAAAATTAAGCAGTGAAAAATACCTGCAGTAAAATTTAGCAATGCAGGACCCAGAAATATATATACAGGGGTAGGGTACACAGATGTGTCACCATCATGATGAAATTAGAAAGAGTAAAGTTTTAATTTGCGTACTATTGCGTATTTTTTATCAAAATTTTTATATGTAAAAAATTAGTTTGTGTATTTTTGGCCTAAATTTAGCTAATCTTATATATTTACTGTACATTAACCGCATTGTAATATTTAGTATTAATTGAAGAAATTCTAAGGGTTTAAAAAGTTAAATTTTAGAAAAATATTATTAAAAAAATGGTAAATTAAAATAAATTCTATTTTTTCACATTAGTATAGAAGTTATGATAAAATAATTAATAACTTAATGTCTGAAATTTTATTTGCATATTTTTGCAGGATTTTCAATATCAGGTGTCAATTATGCATACTACTAGTAGGGCAATCTTGGGGGTTCTGGGACAGCGGCTATCACATAGGTCTAACCATAATTTAGTGTACTCCCAGACCACCTAGCCTTGTTTTCTGATATGATAACACTATACCTGTTTTTCTATCTCCAGACCACCTAACCTTGATTCCTGATATGTTATTACTTGATAGCTAAAAAGAACCCTCCAAGCGTTGTAGATAAGATTAACATCATTTATTCCTAGGCATTATTACCACGCATGGATCCATTCTAGGGTATCTTAATTTTATGCTATATCAGATTGCCTTTATAAGTGCCAAAGGTATGAAAGACACAAAGTGTCTGTAATACCGATGGCACGATTCAGCAATCCATTGTGGCATACTATTTTTATGATACTCTAAAATGGATTCATTCAATGATTTAAGCCATTCATGCTCTAACCAAAAATTTTTAACAGGAAGGCAACTAGACATATTGTAAAGCTTTTCCTGCTATACGAAAAAATCTGGGACAGTGAAGTCTAACCAAAAATCTAACCCAGGTCTAACCAAAAATGTATAGCAGGAAGGCAACTAGATATGTTTTAAAGCTTTTCCTCCCGTACGAAAAAATCTGGGACAGCGAAGTCTAACCAAAAATCCGACCCAGGTCTAACCAAAAAATGTATAGCAGGAAGGTAACTAGATATATTGTAAAGCTTTCCTTGCAATACGAAAAAATCTGGGACAACAGGTCTAACCAAAAGTCTAACCAAAAATCCGTCCGAGGTCTAACCAAAAAATATACAGCAGGAAGACAACTAGACATATTGTAAAGCTTCCCCTGCAATACGAAAAAATCTGGGACAATAAAGTCTAACCAAAATTTAACCCTAATCATAAATTGCTCTGATTCTTTGACGAAGCCTATTTTCATACCGATTTTGATAGTAATAAGATGGGAAACATTTTAGAATTTATTAATTGAAGAAAAAAATTTTTAGGTTATTAGTACACAACCAGTATGGCAACAAGCAATCGAACTTGTGATAGATGTGGAAAGACTTTTGCAACTCCACAAAAGCTTCGTGGGCATCAAAATAGAAAGTTTCTATGCAAGTCTACAGCTAACCCTCAGGATCCCACACCTGAGATTGTACAATTGCAACCACAACCGGAGCAATTCCAGGATCCCACACCTGAGATTGTACAATTGCAACCACAACCGGAGCAACTCCAGGATCCCACACCTGAAGTTATCCCAGCTCATACAGAGAAAACTCCTAACTTAACAATTGATGAACTAGCAAAATGGTTAGCAGGACCTGGTGATTACAATCAATATACTCCACGAAAAAGAAGAGTTCCACAAACAGATAATGAATGGTTTGCTTATATGCAAGGAGATTATAGAGGAAGATGGTGTGATATTCAATTTGTAAAAAGAGGTCATGATCCTGCACGTCCACATAAATCTCTAAAACATAAGACAGTATGGCAAGCTGATCTTAAACCAAATGTTAGAGATATACCATATTTTCCAAGTATAATAGCTGATACCCGCCAGAAAATAACAGAAATTCTTGAGAGGGAACTTGAAGAAAAGGGGCAAATCAAATCAGCTATCACTATATTGGCTACATATACAGATAATAGTGGAACATATAAGCAAGTTTATCATAGAGGAGTCATGCGTGTACTTCTTTTAAAGAATGATATAGATGATCATTTAACAAAATCAGCAGTAGATATCACGGATAAAATTGTCAAATTTATGAAAGGAGGGTCTGGTTGGAAAATTGTTAGTATAGATATATTAACTATTGAGACGTATACTTACCGCCGAGCAAAAGGAGGCTCATACATTCTTACACCTAAGGCACTTGCAAATAAGAAGTGCACTATCAATCCTGATAACAAAGATCTCATAGATCCAGACACAGGCTTGCCTTCTGAAAAATGTTTGCAAGGGGCTTTAGGTGCTTACTTTGCATATAAAGATGGTCATACACAAAAACTTGAGCGAATCTTTCGGGCAGAAAAATTTAAGCCATACTTGGAACAAGTCAATCTCAATGCAATTCCCATGCCCACTCCTGTTTGTCCACGCATATTTAGCAAGATTGAGGACCTCAATCCTGAGATCTCCATTAATGTATGGGAATGGGAGGAGAAAACTGGTATTCCAAAACCTGTTATTGCAAGTAAGAATTACAACCGTCAACATATCATTCACCTTATGGCCCTTACAGATATTACAAAATCAGATGAAGGAAAGTATGGTCAGAAGAATCACTTCCTTTGGATTAAGAATCCTGATGCTTTAATATACAAAGATACATCCCACAAGGGAAAGAAGCATCTTTGCAATCGGTGCTTCCAAAGCTTTCCATCGTCTAAATCTTTAACTAATCATCAGGAATGGTGTTTTGGATTAGGTGAGTCACCACAAAGAGTTGAGTTACCAGTTAAAGGTAAGAATGATTTTGAGGAGTTTAAGAATTTTAACCGAACAATGTATGCCCCATGTGTAATTATTGCAGACTTTGAGGCTGATAACAGAAAGTGTAATGAAAACTATGGTGGAAATATGCATAAGATTATGGAGCAAAAGGCTAACAGCTTCTGCTATATGGTCCACTGGATTGAAACTGATGAGACATGGGGGCCGTTCTTATACCGAGGACCAAATGCAACAGAAGAGTTTGTCAGCAGACTTGATAAAGAATTAAGAAGGATTAATGATGTTTTAGAAGTAAAAGTAGAACGTATTGTAACAGAGGAAGCTAAAAAGGAATTCACTAAAGCAGTTAGTTGTTGGATATGTAATGGGAATTTCAATCAGGGCGTGCAAGACAAAAAAGTTTGGGATCACTGCCACATCACAGGTAAGTTTCGTGGGGCTGCTCATAATGCATGCAATCTTAAGCTTCAAATCGAAGCATGGAAGACTCCAATTCCTGTAGTATTTCATAACTTCCGTGGCTATGACTCCCATTTAGTTTGTGAATCTGTTGGACGATCAATTGGAGCACATCAAATCAAAGTTATTGCAGAGACATTCGAACGTTACAAATCCATGAAAGTAGGGCAATTCAAGTACATTGATAGCATGCAGTTCATGGCTTCCAGTCTTGCAAACCTTGCAAAGAATTTAGGGACAGATAAACCCCTTACAAAGCGACACTTCAACAACTTCTCGTCTGAACATATTGACTTAATCACACGTAAGGGGGTTTATCCTTATGAATATATTGATTCACATGATCGTTTCAAGGAGACAGAACTCCCATCTATTCATGACTTTCATAGTACTCTTGGAGGAAAGATCACTCAGGATAATTACAAACATGCACAAAAAGTTTGGAAGGAATTTGGCTGCAAAAACTTGGGCGAGTATCATGACCTTTACCTTAAGACTGATGTTCTTCTCCTAGCAGATGTCTGGACAAAATTTAGACAGACAGCGATGCATCATTATGGACTTGACCCAAGTCATTATGTCTCTGCTCCTGCACTTTCTTGGGATGGCATGCTTAAGATGACTGGAGTTAAAATAGAGCTATTCACTGACATGACCATGCATGATTTTACTGAAAAGGCTAAATGTGGAGGAATAGCTATGGCAGGACACCGTTTCTTAAAAGCCAATAACCCTAAGATAGGTGACTCCTTTAATCCCTCTAAACCTACTACCTGGATTTCCTATATAGATGAAAACAATCTGTATGGATGGGCTATGAGCCAGTAATTACCTATTGGTAATTACAGATGGGAAGCATCTCCAGAATATTTCAAACAGAATCTAGATAAGCAGAAGCAGATACTTAATGTAATTCTTAATACAAAACCAGATGCTACCCGTGGTTACTTCCTAAATATCAAAGCGCACTTCCCCCTTAAGACTCATGATTATCTACAAGATATACCTCCTGCAGTTGATAGTATAGCTGTAAAAAAGGATAAGTTAAGACCATATATAACCAAACTTGTTGATAACTTAGATGGAGGGCGATTCCCTGAAACAGAGAAGTTAGTTCCACATCTTGGTAAACATGAAGATTATGTTATACATTACCAAGAGGTCCAGTATTACATTAAGTTAGGCATGGTTGTAGATGAGATTACACAAGTCCTATCATTTGATCAAGATAACTGGTTAGCTCCTTATATTGCAAAAAATACAAATTTACGTCAACAATCCAAGAATTCATTTGAGAAAGACTTCTTTAAACTCATGAATAACTCAGTCTATGGCAAGACTATGGAGAATGTACGTAAGTATCAGGATGTCAAGCTTATGAGAATGATCAATGAAAATGATGAAAAGAAATTCCTTAAGAAAGTTCGCAAGCCCTCCTTCAAGTATGCTCGTCAACTTGGCAACACACTTGTAGAAGCACATATGGGTAAGGCTAGTGTTATTCTCAATAAACCTATCATTATCGGTGCATCTGTCCTTGGTCTCAGTAAACTCTTAATGTACCGCTTCTGGTATGGTTTTGTCAAAGAGAAGTATGGAAACAAAGTACGACTTGGATATATGGATACTGACTCCTTTATCTACCATGTCGAGACAGAAGATATTTACAAGGATATGGCAGAGCGTCCAGATCTCTTTGACCTTAATGATACTAAGACTATCGGGCTTTTCAAGGATGAGACTCCTGGAAATGTAATTA